ACCCACCTTACCTGAGCACTGCACAGGCACGGGATTTGATTGCTCAGCAACTAATTTCCCCTTTCAATCAGTCTCCAGTCTCCACCCATTCAAACTTTCCCTTTTTCCCAGTTTAAAGAAAGGAAGACATTCTTTCTAGTAAAGTATTAACAACAACAAAAATATCTCTTAAGCCTGTATGCACTGCTGAACACTTTGTTTTGATTCACTTTGTTTTGATTTTATTTTCTAGGAAGAACTTCACACAGATAAAGAGGGTTTGGCACTTTTTGAGCTTGCCAGGAGACCAGCAGCAGCCAGAGGCTGTGTAACACACGTAAGGATGCTTTTGCTTCCCTAAAGTCCATACTTTGCAAAGAACCAATCCAGAAAATGGTGTAGCAGCTGTCTTAAAGAAATTACAAAGACTTCCCATGTTCAGACCAGGCAGCACTAGACCTTTCCTGAAAACCCCTGCACTGAAAGGGTGTGTATGAAGGGACCCACACTGCCTGATCTGGACATGGCACATAAGCACCAGCTCTGGACTCCAAGTGGGTTATGGTGTTGTACTGTTAGCGCACAATAATCAGAATTATGTGCTTCTCCTCTTCATTCCTCGTACTCTCTGCAGCTCAGCACCTCTTGGCCTGTTTATCTGTATCAATATCACTATGTGCAACAAGCAAGCATGAAATCTATGATGTATTTACCTCCTTGCTACCATCAGTTGCTGGCTTTGACAAAGAGACTACGTGGAAAGCATCCAAACGCTGCGCAGAGTGAGGAAAAACACCCTGCATTCATAATGTCCCAATCATGATGGGACAAGAAAAGATTCCAAAGAATTAAGAATAAATCTAAGAATGCAGAGGCAAGTGAATACCTTCTAGGCAAAGGCCACCCATTTGACAATAATACAGTTATAATCCAGACACGTCTGCTACCAGCAGGAAGATACACCACTAGGATGGTGCAATAAAATAATCAACAAAACAGGTTTTCTAATTGGGAAAAGCACTTTGAACAGGCCTCTTGAAAACCTGTTTGTAACCAGTTTGTCTGTCTCCTGAACTTCCTACCCCACCTAGTTATCTCTTCCTTCATTTTTTGCAATTTCAAACATTTTGAACTTGCATCCAAAAGTAAAACTTCCCAAGCATAACACTGCAGAGAGTGGCAACAAAAAAATGTTGCAGCATACCATCCTTCGGGAGTGGCACTGGTGTCCAGGTAAGGTTGCCAGATTAACAGCTCCTGATCAACATCAGGCCAGACCATCAACCACGTGCCTTGTGCTTTCACATACTGAGTCTGTCTTTATGCTTATTTTTCAGGTGATTCCATCTTGCCAGTGCAAGGACAAGGTTCGTTTATTTTCCCTTATCTTGCTTTCTCTATTCCCCTTCCCTCTACTCTAGAGAGACACACTTGCCTCCTTGTGTATGCTCACATAGTGAACAACTAACAAAAATATCTGTTTATTTCTGCCCACAGCATTTTTAGAGACCTCCCAGAAAGGCACCCAGAAGACAATAAAGTAAAAACATCTGGGGCAATGTAAAAGGTGGGTAGAATAAACAAAGAGCCTGCAAGGTCACAGATCACCTAGTGGGACACAGGGAGGGAAGAGCAGATTTCCCTGCTAGTCCAGTTTGACAGGCCACATCAGCTTTCCAGGCTTTTCATAAGTGATAGAGCCACGAGGCTTCCTGACACCACTCTTTCTCCATTACCACCTTCCCTCTATCCTGAAGGATCTGACACTTCCAAAGAAAAGCACTGCTTCACAGGACAGCTGACAGTGATGGGGGAAGAGGTTCGAGCAGGTATAAATAAGTAGGTCTGTCTTGTCTAACTAGGGCAGGACAAACTGTCACCAGCTCCCTGGGGGTGGTACTGCTGACAGCAGCAAACAGAAATGCAAGTACTCACAGGACATCTGGGTACTGAAGCTGTCACCTCTACCAGGATTAATAAAAAAAGGTATTTTTAAAAGTGACTTCCCAAGATATGCAGAAAGGAGCTCCCATTTCTTCAGGTAAGAACACTGGTGACTGAGTCACTCAACACAAATTTAAACTCCTTAAAAAGTGAGCATGCCCTTCCTTTCCACTCTTCTATTCAAGTGCCATTCATAATGGTACACAGGTACACTTACAGGCCTAGCAAGCCCAACTGTAGCCCTGGTTACATCAAAGCACCTCTCTGACCTCTAGGAATCCCCCAGTTAGGCTCTGGATTGGAGTAAAAATCTCACTGCAATTCTTATCAACACCATTTACATAAGAGACATTGAAACTAGCAGATTACCAGCTAATGTAATAAAGTCCAGTGGGAATAGTTAATAGACTCTGCATCTGGTCAGGAGATACAGCTCATGGTGGGGAACTGCACAGAGCAATAAATGAGAAAGTATCTAATGCTTAAATGCATTGAAAGGAGAAACTGAAAGGCACACATGGCTTCCAACACTCAGAAGTAGTTCAGTTTAAGACATTGTGATAACAAAATTCAACTTAGGCAAGTCTAACATAATGTGAGTGTTTAAAAGACCTGCCAACTGAAAATATCTAGATCATTATATAAAACCCATAAAGTCCAGATTTAAATTCTTCATTAGCAGATTACAGGCACCATGCCTAAAGGAGTGCATTGTGCCTGAAGGAGAACCTTAGTCACAAACAGAACTTTCAAGGGATAAGAACTATCAGCCTATATCTATGCAGAGTGGGAGCTGTATACCCAAATTCTTCACCTATCTGTAGTATCTGTGTCTATGGTTGGACTCTATCTCGCAAGTCTTTTCCAACTGAATGATAATGAATGGTTCTATGATAATCCCATCTTGTGACTGTACTATCTGTAGCGTGGAGTATCATGTATGATGGCAGCATACCATTCACCTACTCTGTACTAAGTCCCAACACAGATAGCTTGGTTGTTAAGTTACACTTTTTATTATTATTCCCCGATTAACTTAAAAAAATCCATGTCTCACTCAATCCAGTTTGACACAAGAGCTCTAGCATAACCCTGGCAAAGCAAATAATCTTTACTTCCCTGCTTTGCACAAAAAAAAATTACAAAATCAAGACTTGTTAGCTATCAGTGCTGCTACTGTACCACCTTCCACTTAAAAAGTGGCCACAAGGTGTCCTCCTTCTTCTGTTTCATGCAAAGAGAACACAGACCAGAGAGACTTGTCTAAGTCACTAAATTGGGCTGAATTCAGGCAATGGGTTTGTGAAGAGGGTTTGCAAGCAGCAAAGCTGTCAGTTCTTTCAGAACTCATTCACATCATTGAACAAGCAGCAAGAGTGCTCCAGGCCTTCCAAGCTAGCTTTTTCATTTGTAGCTTGTGCATCTTCTGCCTTTAAAAAGATTTTCAAAAAGAGCAAGTTCTGCCTCAGAATCAAAGTACTCTTCCCAAGAAATGTATCTGCAACTCTTGCTGCATAAGTAAACATGGCAAAGCCCTCTAGAAAAGCCTTCTAAGGCCTGCATGCTTCTGCCTTCATTCTTAGATTTTGCATAGAAAAACAGGGGGTGGACAGGCAAGACCCACAGGCTGCTTGCTCACAGCTCCTTGTTAATGTGCCATGTTCAACAGAAAGTAAGTCACACTGAAGCTAAAAACCAGGTGTTGTTGTATTGAAGGAAGTCCCCCACAGTCACAGGGTATTTCAGATCCTATTCTACCACTGCTTCTCATCCTTGTTCTTTTCCCCCCAGTTCCAAAAAAATCTGCCCAAGCATGGAACCCAAGAATGCAGCTGATAAAAACTACTCCTTCCAACAATTTCGTGTTAAACACACACTAAGTGTACGAAGTGACTTTGAAAACGTCTTGCTTTATTGGTCTTCCTCAAATTATGATTTGAATAAGGAATAATTTTATTTTTTAAAAAAGCTCTAAGGAAGTTAAGCAGCTACTGAAGCCTATTTTGTTGAAAAATGCTAAATCTGAACCAGGACCCTGTATATTCACATGTGATAGGAGACCCAGTACCTGGTATATTATTTTTATCTGCCACCCTAGACTGGTTTTAGATGATTTTACATGTGTATTAAAATATATTTTATTAAAACAAGATAACAATTAAATGATCAAGAATTAAATGGGCATACCTATTTTTATTACCAAAAAAATCAAACTGATGCGGTTATTTTATTTGTTTTTTTTCTTTTAAAGTTTCATCTTTTATTCACTCATCAAGAGCCAATAAGTTATAAAAATCATAGTAGCTTTTATTTCCTTACTGAAGTAGTCAACAAGATTTTAACTTATTTTTATGCTGACGCAGTAGCACATTAGATCTTTAGAAAGTGTGTATTGGTATTTGTTTTTCCATAGAGTTTCTTCTTAAAAACGCTACCTTTCTTGTGCAGGTTTCCATGAAACCTCTTCCCTGTTATTAGCATAGCACTGCTGTTCCCTCCAGGAGGTTCCAGACACAGTTGGAGCAGCACTCGATGCTCTGCAGGAACATTCAAACCTAGAGAACCAACCCACCAGCCCAGCAGAGCAGCCACTCCACACCACAGCCACCCCAACCCTTTCACCTCACCCACCGCTCTTGAAAGGAAGCCACTAATTACACTGAAGCTCCATGCTGAAGGGAGGGGCAATGATTCCATTTGAGAGATGTTAAACCAAATATTTTTGTATTTAATTAAGAGTTCCAGAAGGTTAAAACCATAGACAAATGCACAGAACTCCTGTCAGTGACAATGAACTGAGACAGCAACATTGTCATTCCCGTGCTTTGAACAGTGTCTAAAGCAACTTCTAAACAAGAACAATTTGGGATACTCATGTAGAACTTAAACAGTGATTTTTGTTTGCTTTACCTAGTATGAAGGTGTTTCAAATGTTTCAGTAACTTATAACTAGTCTCACAGTTGCCATTTTCCCATCTGCTTTTCATAAGCAGATATTTTGCTTAGTATACCAATAATAGATTTTCTCCCCCCAATAACAGTGCAATCTAGTTTTCATGGTAACACACAAAAGCATTCTAGTCTTGCTCCTCTTCATCCCCATCTTCATCTTCATCTCCTTGATCTCCAGATTCAATATCATCTTCATCTTCAACCTGAAATTAAGGAAGATCTGTTGTGAGCAGTAATATCCCTTACTGTGATCCAACCTTTTGAAGGCAAATGACAAGGGAGTGAAAATAAGCTTAAAGCTAACCTAAAATAATCATACTGTATCAATTAGCACTTAATAAAGACAAACATCATCTTGTAATGTCACACAATTTAAATTCTCTGCTAAGGATGCCTGACTACTGGGAACAGCAGCCTCCACTCCACACCATCAGGTCTGCCCTGTACATTCAAGTAAGCAACTGGGTACGTGCTTCAGTTTCCCGTACAATTGTGGGAACTAAACCCTACTACCAAAATGTAATCCTTCCTTTAATAAGGACTGGATAAAAGACAGAATGATTCTCTTGATAGGAAACTCAGATTCTAGCCTGATGTTCAGCCACAACCACAGCACAACAGCAAGTAACATCCATTTCAGTCACACATCCAGCTGTGAGTCACAAGGATTCTTGAAAGAAACCACCCATTAGGGTCCCAGAAACTGCCCTGACACTCTACAGCACTGCCCAAGCAGCAGACTAAAGCTTTCTAGTCAGCAGCCAGGATCAGCTGCAGCAAGGCCAGGCACCTAGTCAGGTATTGCTCCACACATACCCATGACAAGCATGACTTCCTCACAGGAGTTTGGCAGGTACCTCTCAAAATCTCTAAGCTGAACACTTCTTTCAAGAGGCAGTTATCTTTTATTGCTGGCTGCCAACAGAAGTTCAGGAAGCCACTCTGGTAGATTGAACAGACCTCTATTTATAGAAAGATGCCACACCAGACTTACTAGATCAAGTATTGCCATACTCAGACCTGCCCTTCAGACCCAAGAGCTCATAGGACCCATTGTTTTCCTTACCGGTACACCGAGATCCTTCAATTTTATCTTCAGTGCAGATAGTTTCTGATCCTGATCAGCCAAAAGCACCAGAAGATCATCTTGTTCTTTCTTTGATTCTGCAACTTCTTGCTGAAGCTTACTTTTCTCATCTTGCAATATAGCAACTGTACTACTGGATGAATCCAGATGCTGTTTTAGTGTTTCTTTTTCCTCAGAAAGGGCTTTGACTTCATTCTGGCAACAGGAAAAATCCCACAACAAGTTACACCATAAGCATAGTAACAGCTGAAAGCTTTGTTTCATACAGACACATTCCATACACTACCTGTAACAGCTCCAACCCCACCAAGTGCCCTGTGGCCTTGCTCTCACACACTTCCTTACCCAAACTCCCCTTATTACCAACCAGGAATAGGTTGGGTAGAAGTCTTAACATTGGCTACCTTCCTCCCAGCCATAGTGGACTGTCTGTGTCAGAGTGAATCTATTTCCTAGACTGTTCTTAACCAACTCCTTGAAGGCAGGCAAGGCCTACATTTCCCAAGTGAAAAATGAAGGAGGAGATGGATCCAGCTTCCCCTTCCTAGTCTGAAACACTTAAGATGCTGAGGAAACAAAAGACTTCCACCCAAAGCCTTTCCTATCATAGAAGTCCTCCTAACTGAAGGCTGAGTATCAAGTGACTTGGTTTAGTGTTCATCCACTACCAACCTTCAATTCTTTTATTTCTTGCTGAAGTTGTCCCTCTAATTCAGAGTTGTTTACTGCTGCTACACAGCTGTCTGCTAACACAGGATCTGCAGTTGTATTCTGTGGACAAGAAATTCAGTATCAGAGCACTCACATACACAGACAGGAAGCTAAGACATTATGCAGTCAGTTGTAGAATTTAAAAGCATATTTTCTTCTTACCAGCTAATGGCTGGTTTTGAGGACACAATCACATCTATTTAGCTATTCTGTAAGGCTTTATTGGCTTATATTTTCTAAACACAGCTAAAAAAAGCTCTGAAGCCTTTGGAGGTCTGCACAGACAGGTGTGCCTACCATTTGCCATTTAACTATATGTCAGCTTTGAAATTAGTATCCTCAACTGTTAGTAAGAATTATGATCTCTAACACACATGATATCATGCATTTGTGTCTCACAAGAGACTATTTCCTTTGATCAGGGTATAAGCTTAAAACACTGAGTAGCTGCTATTCCTCTGTTTAAAAATACCAAGGACCAACAGCCTCACAGAGCACAAACTTGACTGGATGCCCCCCCTTTCCTCATGAAGGATTTACCCAGGCAATGCATTACTTCATTTAAAACACTGTTGGTGTCACTTCCTAATGTGTATTTTTAAAACAAGCTTAGTTTAGGACAGTAGCTACAGACAGCACAAGCAGGAAAGCAAAGTCTTCAAGATTTAGTCCCCAGAGAGAAAATAAGGAGCTTTTTCACTGGTACCATTAGTTGTAGCTTTTGATTCTCAATCTGAAGCTTAGAGATTTCTGCAGACTGTAGTTGTATCTGACTCCTGAGCATTTCCAGTTCCTTTGGGAAACAAAGACAAAACATACTCTTAAGTTAATTTGATAAAGCAAGGTAGTTAAATTTTATTTAAGTTAAATAGCAACAGACTAACTGCTTCATACTAGCATACGCAAGAGGAAAGCTGCACCTCTCTCTCAATGAGAGCACAGCAACCGTTTCTCTAGAAGACAAAACTAGTCAGCAACATGCACCATTTTCTGCCCTGCTCTTACAAACTCTTTTCTGTGGAATGCCCAACCAAGGCACCTGTCCAAGCCTCAGCTGTGCTTATAAAGGTCACACCACTATCACTCCCATTAGCATCCTCTACACAACACCATTCTTGGGGCAGAAACCCATTCTGACTTAGCAATCTAGGTATCATTAGTTCTGTAATCAGAGAAACTCCAATAGGTATTTTTTTGAGCAACAGCTACCTTAAATTATTGAAACTGCAGATCTTTAAACACTATGCTGTAAATCTAATACCTGGAAGCATTCATAATAAAGATATGTTTTGCAATGGATAAAAAGATTTTGTAAGTCTGAAGAGTCAGTTGAAGTGTGTTCTGCTGGCTCAAACCTGCTTAGCAAAAACAAATTACTCCTTTTTGGATGCATAATCTTGATGCTCCAAGATTAGTGATCATCATCACATAAAGATGCACCATTAAAAACATCAACATGCTCAGGACTCGATGGTCATCCCTGTAAGTGTGACAAAGCTCCCTTCCCATCCCAGGCTACCACCGTGTACTGCAGCTTTGCTGAAATACCACAAGTTCACCTTCTGTAGTTCATTATTGAGCTCCAAGCCACCAGATTTGCTGGTCTGTGAAGACTGCTCTGTTGTTCCCATCTCCAACTGTGAAGATTTCTGTAATAGCAACAGGAAAATCAGCTATAGAACTCAGACTAAATAGTCATGTCAGAACATAAAGCAAACTGTGTGCTTGCATGATCAGTGTTCCCGGAGTAGGTGCAAACAGGTTAAGAAATGCACAAAGCTCTCTGATTACACAAGAGCAGCTGGATGTTCTCCTCTAAGATTGATGCAAAAGCTCACCAATTTAAATGCAGAAGACATGCACAAAATAAAAGCAGTGTGTGCCCTCCTGCATTTTGGCAAACAGGCCACCAAACACAGGCCATCATAAGTATGTCTTAAGCATTACCCTCCTAAGCTTCCAGGAGATACCGACCATTTTTCCTCACCCAATACATGCTAAAACCCACAGATTCTATAGTCAGCTGCACATATTACTCTTGGGAAGAGTGTGAAGCAGAAAAGGCTCTGCTCAAGCCGTCTCCCACCATACTTCCTATTATCAGCACAGTATCAGTTGTGATTGCTTGACTGCCATCATAATGAGGACTTACACAGCTTAAGGCAAACTACATTTGAAAACAGGAAATGGAAGCCACATCAAGATCTGCCACGTTAGTTATTGCTTACCAATTTTTCAATCACAGAATCCTTTTCCTTTAACTGCCCTTGCAGTAGTTCATGCTTGTTTTTCCATTCTTCCAACTCCTCTTTCAATTTGCTCACTTCTTCTGTCTGAATACCATTCATCTGAAACGTATCACTGTGGGAATTATGATGTTGAGTGTCCTTTCCTAAAAGACAGAGAGTATAACAAAGGTCACAAACCTCAACATCATTTTGAAGTTAGCTTCAAACACACTAATTAAAGTATTTATTGCCCATCCTCCTCCTGCTCTGCAGGGCAATACAAGCCACTCTAACTCAAGAACCAAAGCAAAGTGTTTAAAAATCTCTATCAAAAGTTGAATAAATAGCTTGGATTTGCCATTCCTCCAACTACGTATTTGTGGCTGTCCCTGCACGCTGCTTCAGTCATTTAGTTCATCCAAAGCAGGTTTATAGACAAATCATTCTAGAGAGGAAGGACAATTATTTCCTTATGTATTTTTAAATCATAAAAAATACTGAAGGTAGGATTACTTTTTGAAATCTTGTCATATACAGCTTATCAGGCATGCTGACCTTGGAATAACTTGAATATACTGTCCTGATTTAAGCATTCAGTTTGCAATCTCTCTAGTGACAGCAATAGGCCTCATCTTGTACATCTGCCATTCCACAACCCTTCCCTAATTCATGCTTTCATTCACAGACCCTAACTTCAACACACACCACAACCCATCTCTTCATGTTCTAAGTCTGAACAGGCAATGACTGTTTTGGACTAAAGAAACTAAAGGTCAGAAGCTATTGTTCATCACAGTGCTTCTGTGTGTTCATGGAAGTGAACTGTCTGGCCTACAGCGGTCATCTTCAGGCCCTGGTTTTCCCCCTGAGCAGGCCTACGTGGCAGGTAAGCCTGAGATCAACTGCTCAAATGGATCTTGCAGAAAACTGAACTTTTTTCAAGAGACCCAATACTTGAGCACAAAGCAAGAAAAAATTATGCCTCATTCATATTTTCAAGTTGTCCTCTCACTTCTTACTGTGCTTTATTCTGCAAGATTCAAGGCTCTCAAAACAAAGCCTAGTATTATTAAATAATGAAGCAAATCTGATGCGTCAACAAAAGTGTCTGCAGTGCTCAATATCAATTTGGAAAAAGTGTATTTATCTCTATGGGAAGTTTTCATACGCTGCAGAACATATAACAGCATGCTTGAAGTGACAGAAGATTGTCTTCTGGAGCTGTTCTGTAGCTTGCCATAAATCACTGGATCTTTGCACTAGCAAGACTATTTACTATTATACTTTCTGAAGCCTACCTAGCTGTACTTTAAGGAGATTATATTGGTCCTTATGCTGTTGGATCTGCGACACTTGCTGTGTAACTGTTGCTTGGAGCTGTTCATTTTGAGATGTTAAAGTGTTAACTCGTTGTTTTAATTCTTCAAGCTCCTGATCCTGTGACAAGAAAAAAGGCACTTAGAATAATAATGCTTTTGAATACAATACTGTCAGGAAGGCAAAAAAAAGACAGAAAAATCTTAACTCTAGCAGTATACATGATTGGTTAGTGACACTGTCAGTGCTGCCTGACAGATGAGGAGAAAAGCCTCATGCAAACCTAAACAGCTATTCCTAGGAAAAAAAGCCTGGAGAGACAGAAGCAGCCTGTCACACCAGACCAATACCTTCCAAATCTTTGTAAAGATACCTCCAGAATCCCCATACCAGGGACAGCAGGACAAAGAAAAAGGAAATAACTGAATTTGATTATTGTAATTTCTCCTCATCACCCCAAAGCCTGCAAGCATTTGGTCCACTTCAAGAGTCTTTAAAGTAGTCATGGCAATTGCAGTCATCACATGCTCAGTAAAGCCTGACTGAAAGTTCAGAAGTGCCCTTAATTCCACATGTACCACTCTATTCTGTGTCCCTTCCAGATCCCTGAACTAAAAACCTCTGCTTCAGTTCCCCATTAGCTATTTAAGTTAATTAGCTTTGCTCCTCTACTTCACAATCTAAGCTGTGGCAACAAAACAAGTGAACTACTGTTGAGGAAAAAAAATATTTTGAGAGTCCAGCCAGAGCAGGTATACCCACACTTCACTGACAAACATCACCACTTCATTCAGCTGTGTTTCATCTGTCATCTTTTCAAAGGGGAGAGCACAGAATTAAGAATTGCATCTCTGAGAAGGGCTGCAAGTTCTGCATTTGAAAATAAACACTTAAAACACAGGAAAGAGCAGATGTACTCTAGGAAAATCATTAAACTTAACCAGTATTCTAAACACTGGCATTTCAGTTGAACCAGAAATTCTCGGCTTAAGTTTTTTCAGAAGTGTTTCTGCATTGCTAGATTCCTTGCTACTTATTTTGGAACATGGGGTATCAAACTGTACTACGGTGCCTCCAAAAGCCAGAAGAAACAACTTCTGGAGGCACATGTACAGCATAATTCATTCTTACCTGCTCTCTAATGACTTTTTTGTAGTGAGTCACAATGTTGTCATGCTGTTCCAATGTCTTCTTGACCTCCTCCTCCTTTTTATCTTCCTCACTGGACTTGTAAATAGCTTTACTTATGACACCTGCCAAAAACAGTTTCTGTCAACTAACACCCAGTTCACATCTTTTTTTTGTCCTCAAAACAGTCCTCACCCAGTTTAACTGAGTTCATGGCATTAGAAACTCAACCTGCAGTTTAAAAACAGCAGTTGTCACAAACAGGTTTAAGAAAACAGGAAATAGCAATTTTTTTTTTAAAGCAAGGGTTGCACACTTACTGTTTTACAGTTTCAGAAAAGCAAATGGGTGTTTTGAGTCCCCCCCATCAGAAAAGATACATTTTACTTGCGTTATGGCTCTAGGACAACTCTTGCCCAAGCAGCTGTGCAAATAAGTGACAGACTTATGATTACAAGGGCGACGTGCAGAAGAAACGTGATGGGGCAAAACCGTCTTTACTATTGTTGCTTCAAGGTTTTCCCTTCTCCAGACTGATTTAAGTTGGGCAACATTAATAGACAGGATGATGACAATCTGTCTCTTTTGTGAAGAGCAGAAAACACTAAATAAAGCCCTTATAATTTTTTAACAGTCCAGGAAATTCAGCATTCATCATTGTAATGAATCAGAAACAGCAAACACCTAGGTTGCTTGCTTCCATGAATCAAGCTTCTACGACCACCGCATGTGCTCAATACTTCAGTGTCTATTTGAGCACAGGTAAATACACCTCTTGGCTACAGTGTGATAACTCACAGCATGCACCAAGAATTATTTCACCTAGGAATATCAAGTTATCCAATTAGTACAAGCCCTGATTATGGTCTTGTACTGGGAGTAATTTTACTAAATACTTGGAACTGCAAGCTTGAGTATGATTCCTTACAGCTATAACTAAGACATTTTTCAGAATGGTCTATTTTGGTACTGTAACAATACTTTTAACAAGGCTATATTGAGCATATTTAGTAGCTCAGTCATCAGTTCATCACAAAAAACTCAAGATATGAACATAACATCTCACCTTCTAATTCCTTTACAAGTTTGGTAAATTCATGATCAAACATCATGTGGTCAGGGCTAGAAAAACTAGGCTGTGGTTTCTGAGCAGCTCTGGAATAAAGTTCATGTTTGCTAATGAAGCCAAGCTTCTCAATGAAGTTCTCCCTGCCAATCCTCTTCTCAATCAGCTGTTTCAGCTTCTCTCTAAAAGGAACAGACAAATCAATCACAGTGCAACACTTGAAAAGAAGTTAACCCCTTCCTCCTTCAGGGTGGTTTTTGCAGGTACAACTCTGATTATTTGTCTCAAATCTTAACCACACTAGATGTTTTGCTTTCAAGATGCAGGTTTTCAGTTGCCACTGACACCTGTTCTCAGCCCAAGAATACACAGGTTAGGAGGACCTATGTAAAAAACCTGTCTGCCTTGTCTAGCTGGAGGTGGGTCAGTTATTTTGCATCCCATAAGGAACATGCATTGACTGCACTGCCTCTGTTAAAAGCCCCTTAAACCCCCACCTGCCATTCACAGAACCTTTCCCTCTTATTTCTACTTCATACTTACTTCCTGTAGTTTTCAAGGGAATTGTCATTGTAGTAGATGGAAATGCCAAGCAAAAGCGCACACAGGCCTTGGACAAGCTGCTCCTCTTCTCCAAGGTTTTCAGCTATCTGCCCTGTGAGCTAGAGCTCTTGTTAAGGATATTTCAGATGTTTCATAAGCAGAAGACATGTAACATACTTCTCCCTGTATAAATTCCCAGTTAAAATTCTTTTCACATGTAAAACCAAGCTTTATTAAGGAAGTAGGCAAAACAGCTGACAAAACCCTCACAAAGCCAGCTCCTATTTTGAAGGACCTGTGTAATCAGTGGTTTCTCTGAAATTTCTTTTCTCAGTAACTGTCTGCTTAACCAAAGAGATTTAGTTGTTCCAAAACAGACTTTCAGTTTAGATAAGGTGACAGTTTAGCCTTGTGTACTTTCATCAGATTTTTTTCTTGAAAAGCAAGCATAGAAATAAGCTTCAACAGAAGTAGGAAGCGTTCTTCTAGCTCTTGGGTACAAGCGTAAGTCACACTAAAAATATCAATGGGCTTGTCACAATGAAAAATACGCTTTGCTGTCAAAATGACAAAGCTTTCTGCTGTACTTTAGTTTACATGCACATCTTATAGACAGGTCAGCACACACAGAGCACTGTCAGCAAAAGGCTGCTTATATCTCTTGCCCCAATGCATTTTCTTTGATGTCATGCAGTATCCCTGCAAACTGATCTAGATAAACATTTAACTTGAACATGAATAATCCAAGTAATTTCTAGGCAAGCGGTTGCACTCTGCAAGCAGGTCAAGGATACAAAAGGTACATTGGCTGGGTTGTGAAGGAAGTGGGTGACAGCAATGGAGCAGTTGCTTAGCCAAGTGCAAAGCAACATCAGTAGTCCAACCCTGGTCTGTACTTTGCTGCCCTGAAAAGAATAATACCCCCCATCGTTATCATTCCACAGTGGAGGACTAAAATACCAAAAAAAGCTGTACTGATTCAGAACTCACCCACTTTCAGCTCATTTTAAAAACAAGTCATGCCTTTCAAAAATACCCATTTGTTAGTTATACTGAACACAGCTTTAGTGCTTTGATGAAACAGGAATTAAACCATTCATATTTAACTGTTTTCAGAGCAAAACAACAAGCAACACAGATGTGAAATATGACTCAATGCAAATTAGCACCCATATAAAATCATAAATTAGTTCTGCATTTATAATTAATACTTGGGTAACAAAGGAACATACACACAATCCCTGTAAAGAGCAAACAAAGTGTAAATTAAGTCAGGTGAGTATTCCCTATAAAGAGAGATGCATCACTAAGACTTACACTGCTGACTAAAAATTGCCATGTGTTCCTAATGTTATTTACTAAGTAAAAATAGGAAATTAAGAAGTGGCTTTTGGTTCATGCAAAATATGCACATTAAGCCAGCAAGAGAAATGCTAACTGCAGTATTTGTGAAAATTAGTTTTCATCTCCAAGTTGACTGTCTTCTCAATTTGTTCCCCTTGTCTTTGCTGCAGATATTGTGGGCACAGCAGCATCCAGGCAGCCAAACATCTCTTCTGAGAGTCAACATTCAGAAGGCAACCAAGAAAAGCGTTCCCTGCGTGGAAAACTGAACTTCATACAAGGACCTAATAAATTAGGTAAATTAACTGGAAGCTAAATTTAAGTCTCAAAGGCAAGATGAGGCATATAGAACTGCTTGGATACCTTCAAAAGGGAGCGAGAAAATACACCGGAATGAGTGGCCACAGAGATCAAGACAGTGGCAAAATGGAGAAGTATTCATCAACAACAAATAAAGAGTCTGTGCTTGAGAGTTATCTGCACTTGAGACACTGAACTTCCATCCTTGTCTCCAAAAACCCCTATGCTTTTGAGTTGAAGACAGCATTGTCTAACTTCAGCTAAGCATTTGAAGAAAAAAAAAAAAAAGCCCCTCAGGGTCTTTTACTAATCCACTTTGCTCATCAAAACAGCCAGTGAGCAGCAGTCTGGCAAGAAGCTTCTCTGTAGCAGGTTCCCAGCTGCCACTGCAGACCACAGGACAGACAGAAACTGAGTCTAGCAACTCTGGAAGAAAATACCAAGTTCTAAAGAAACTGCATTCGAGGACTTCCTTCTGAGGTGCTGTGATTTGCTGCAGTCTATCACTAAGACAAAACTATCTCCTTAAAGAAGGACAACACAGATTGCAGATATCAAGAGTGTAGCAGCCATCCCTAATGCTGCAGCCATAGGAAAGGGAGCGTCTGGCCCTTTTTCATCCTTATCATCATCATTACTTCCAGAGACCTAAGTGAAGTGTGTTGGAACAGCAGAGAAGACAGCCATCAGCACCAAGTGCACAGCTCCTCCCTGCTGTATTTCACTGTGAGTACTACATGCCCTCTTAGCAGCCATTGTTTAGTCTTTGCTATAAGGTTTGTCTGCAGCTTTTTTGAGACCCTGCCATGCTGTTTTATTAACACACAGATTATCCCTCTTACTGCTACCCTTCTAGCTGAAGGCCACAACTGGTTTCCACTGCCCCAGACCTCACTGCATATTGCCTAGTCACCACCAAACCTGACTCTCCTCTTGCTCTCTCCTTTCCTTCCGACTGGCTCATGTAGCTTTCCCCATCACCACTGGGCCTTTCCCTTACCCACCTTGTACTTGGCAATTAGTTAACAACTTGCATGCAACACAATACTTTCAGATCTCTGTTTATGAGGCAACATTTATTTCCAAGACAGTCTAATGACAAGACATATTTAAGATGTTCACTAGCACAGCAGGTTTACCCACAAAGGCAAGACAGGATGCCCAAAGAGCTGTCTCACTACTTTTTATTACCTGTAAGGTAAGGCTAAGCACTGCGTTAACACTCCAGTCTTCAGGTGAAGCATAAATTGCAAACAAGGTGACAAACCATAGGTCTTACAAGCTCATACAGAAAATCATCTGCCACACCACACTGGTGTACTGAACAGCAATAGCATTGTCTTGTCCAACAGCTTAGTTGAAGAACCTGCTGACCACACAGGCCCTTGTTGCTATACTGAAGCATCTAGACAGGCTCTTTACTTCCTCACTGCCACCTCGCTGAACTACAGGGTCACTAAAGTTGAGGGGTACCCTGGAAATCACGTAGGCCATACCCTGCTTTAGCATTAGAGCACTGCAAAATCACCAGTTCTGCCCAAATTCCTTCCAGATTAGATGCAGTAACAGCCTCATGACACTGCCAACTGTATAAATTCACCTGCCATAGAAAGCCCTTTGGGGAAACATGTCCTTAACACTGCAGCACTGAAGGGTGGAGTGTCCTTGCATGCATTGGATGAATAGAACATCCATCTTCCACACTTGCAGCATGCCCTTACCTGCAAGTACCATTGTTAGACAGGGAAACTGCCCTTTTTTCCCCCCAATCATCTCCTTACACATGAGACTGCTTCAGAACTGCCAAGAACACCTTTTCCCCAGTCCTTCCTCTCTAGAGGGAGAGCTGTGCCCTTCCCTAGGCTCACCCTTAAAGTCTCTAGCAAACCTTAAGTCACTTGATTCCCAACTCCACCAAGCTCCTATTTCTACAAATGCCAGACTTGGCTACACTTAATCAGTTTAATTGCTGACAGCCCACATTTAATCCCCCAGTAACCACCCATACCATGCTGCTTTCACCCTTCTGGGATAGAAGAAAGTTACTCGGAGCAACTAGAACCATTCCAAGGAAGTTAAATTTGAGTAATTGCTGACAAAATGGCTATGACACCCAATATCTGCACAAAGACATCAGTCACAACAACTTACAATGTATAAAAACATCAAGTCAATTCTCCTATAACTGAACAAAAAGAAATGCTTCAAACAGAACAGGCAAGCAACACTAGAAACCCTTTTTTGCCTCACTTACATTTACAAATGCTGGCTTTTATTGTCCTAACACTATTAGCCAGTTCATATGCACTGGGAAAAATAACCACTGTAACTGGTAGTCTTGCCCTGCAGCACATTGACACATCTCGGGCTTCTTAAGAGAACACTGCTAGAAGTGTCACTTTTCATGTCAGAAATGCAGTTACTTTTGCTTGTGTGACCTGGCATTTACAGCACATGTCATCTGCTAGAAGAAGTTGCAAACCACATTTATTCTCTAGCACACCTTGCTATTCTGAGGTCAAATTAACATATTCTGCCTAAGGATTTCCACAGAGTCCAAAACACCCTCTCTAAGAAAAAGTCACACACAGCTATTTTCTAGACACACCATGATAGCTGCTGCTGTGATAGATGACAGCTCTCCACAGCTGCTGTTCTGTAGTTCAGCGCTAGAAACAGTACAACCCCACTCCTCAGGACAACTGTCATAAACATGGTAAATGAAGCAGACAACTCCACGGCAGTCATACTTCAGAATTGTTTTCTCTGCCACCAATAACCAACTTAGCAGCACTTGAAATAACACAGCCTCAAAGTCCAACAACTCACTTCAGGGGTCATTAGCTACTAATGAGATCCCTGCTCTTCACAACTAGTAGCTCCAAGGTTAAAACTTCTGCTGGTAAGTAGAACATACGAAGTGGCCAGAAGGCAGGTTAAACACGGTTTTAATTTTAGCAGTCAGGAAATCAGCAGCATGTTCCCACTTCAGACTGTCCCAGCTGTTTCCTACAGGCCAGCCTGAGAAAACAGCATTTCTAACAATTTCAATTTCTCTTACAAGAAAGTGCATCTGTTATGTGAACAGAGAGTGAATGAGTTCACCCCACTGGAAAGAAAGCACCCGTGCTACCCAAGATCTTTATCCCGTAGGTTTGTGGAGCACCCCCAGAGAATGCCCTGGAGACACAGAAGGAGCTTGTTATGCTAGGAAATAACCCAAACCCAACCGCAACACATAGCTGTAAGTGGAAACACGTCAAAAAGCAGTTAAAAGAAAATCTTCCCAGCAAAACCCAAGACAAAAGGAAAAGGCCTGCTTTTGGCAAGAAAATGCCGAAGCTGTGCCAAAAAATACATACCCGTCTGTCGATCTTATCACCCTGCAAGTTACACACATATTACTTGAGAACCTTGAAGTGGAACACATCTCAAACATCCCCCCAAAGTTTGAGTCCCTTGTATCATTCAAGGCTAAAGAGTCACAGGCAGTTTTACTGACTCAAATTTACCTTAGACAAAAATGCTGGGAAAAGGATATAAAGGAGTACTGCCTATTTTGAGGTAAAGCAGATGAAAAAAGTCACATGAATAAATTCAAATTTCCAGCATTCTGCTATTACTCTCAACTGCAGGAAAGTCCAATTGCTGCCAGAGTTCACTAGCTCTTTATTACAACCATTCGGGGAAAAAATACGCATAACAGCAGCAAATGTTGCAAAGTAGCATGGGCTCAGAGTTGAAGTTCACTCACTTGTCATTTACAAAGCCAAGTGTTGACATGTGGAATAAATTAAAAAATGCTTTTAGTTTTGAATAGCAAACCCAACTGCAATCAGTACATGAAAGCCTGGTATTGAAAAGATGTTTCAAGATAGCAGTTACAGGTGAAATACTAACCAGGCACTTCTTCAGCAAGAAAATGTCAATGGGGAGCCTGCCAGCTGTCTTGTCTTTTAAACCAAGTTTAAGTTGTAGATGCTTTAGGACCCAGAGTAGGCAACATCAAGCAGCAATCACTGATGAAAAAGCCAAATTTGCTGCTTTTCTCCTCCCTCTGAAGCAAAGTGCTTTAAGTAAAGCTTAAAAACCCATCAGCAGGAGAGAGAATCCTCTTTCTCTTTAAGCTAACACTCATGGCTTCCTGCCACGCACCTGCACTAGAGCAGCATTCTTCCTGGATACCCAGAGTTGTAACCCAAAGCAGGGGGCAGTCGGTGCCTACCTGTGAGAGGATGTTGGTGCACTGCTGCAGCAGCGACACCGGCGGGTTGCCGATGCTCGTGGCTAGCTGAACTCTGAGGAGCTGCTCTTTCAGAGTGGCGTTTTCCTGTAACGCGTGGGCCAGGGCCACAGCAGCACACCAGTTTGAGAGAGAGTCCGTGGAAAAGAGGCCCCCACAGAGCAGCTGACCCGCTGAGACAGAGTTACCTGTAGCTACCAGAAAAGCCAAGGGGTATAAGTGAGATTCAAACAAGCCACAAAACCAGCAACATATTTAAGACACAAGCATACAGTTAAAACCCAGAAAAATGAAACTAGTTAAGTTTGAGATAAATTGAAACCAAATCATCTTGCTTGGATCAGACACTCAAAGGCAGGTAAATAAATTGTGCTAGTTTACAGCTCAGGGCAGAGACGTTAGCTTTGCGTACCGTCAATAGTAGATGGCAGAAGCGTTGAAACGATTTCCCCTTGTCCTTTTTGGTTTTTGTATAAAAAGCACTGGAAACAATAGAGAACAGCACAACGTAGCACAAAAGGCTGCCTTTCGTTTACCATAGACATCAGAAGTACTACAATTGCAGGCCTGTTTGGCAAGGAGAGAGAAAAACCATTAGGACAAAGTCATAAACGAAGACAACTGCAGATACATAATCTGTAATGTTCTCTCCAGATAAAGAAACTTTTGCCTACTCCATCTATTACCATTTCAAACATTTGAGTAAAAGCTTTGATTCCAATACCAAAGTTTCCCAGTTAGTTAAAACACAAAACAGTAGATTCATTATATGTGACTGCAAGGAGCCCGAGTTGCTCTGCAATATTTTCATTTCCCATCGAGTCCCCTCCTGCTCCCTGCTAGCTTCAATAATGCTGTAGAAGATGCCACCTCGTAAGGCCACCAGCAACTCATAATACAGAATGGCTTTTTTCTACCCTCACCCCCATATTCAAATACTGGGATTAAGATCACATGAAGCTAACACCTGCTGATTCCCAGTATGAGTAAATATCAATTACCTGCCTATTCCCCTAGCCTCTGAATTCTTCTGTAGACTGTCCTCTGGCTGACAGCAGCAGCTCATCCCAAACTAAGAATTTCTCAGCTATTGCTCATTGGCTTTTCAGGTACCACATAACAAATAAAATCAGCTCCAGGCCTCATCTCTGTGGAAACACACCTGACACCTTCCTGCTCTATCTAATGCACCCAACATGAACTTGAAGCCGTTGCTCTGTATCATAATTCCAAACTGAATTTAGACAATCCTTTGGATTAGACTGCCATTGCCCATACCAATACATCATTACCTAACAAAGTTAAACACTTTTCTTCCTCTACCTTGGTGGATTAGAAGGTGCATTTACAGAGGCAAAGTAGTCTTGATTCATCTGGCATCCTCGAATGACCTCTGATACAGTGTTAATGGTCTACAGAAAGGGCAGAGAAAAAAATTAATAGTTAAGTGTGAGCCATAATCTACTATCTAGGTCACTCAAAATTATTCAAGATCACCCTGACAGCTCAGTATTGAAAAAACAAAGACCAAGTCTCAGCATAGGGATTTATTTCAATAAAACCATTTCAAACTAAATCCGAACAGCTAACAGTTGTGAAGCATGCTGAGCCAAGGGTAAGGGACACAAAGCTCAGATGGCTCTTTCTTACCCACTTATCTCCAACTTAATTTTCTATGTCAGGTCAGTTTTGCTATGACAGCCAGTTAAACTGGACATTTTAGAGAATTCAAAAGCGGTGAAACCTCTGAAATGCATCTTTGAAGAGATAAAAGCATTGGAACAGAGATAGTGCCAAAGGAACCAGTCTACACTCAATGTAAGGACATCATTTTATCACAGGGAAAATCATCTTACACTGCTGATAGGCCTTTCTAGAAGCTGGAAATCCCTCACCATTGGAAACTTGCCGAGTCACAATACTTCTAGACTCTCTCAAAAGAAAAAAAAACACCAACAAATAAACCACCCCTAAACCAGGGAAAGACACTGTGGGCTATGTTAAAATCCAACAGGAAAAAAAATGCAAATCCAAATACTTTCTGGTTGCAGACTAAAAGACTATCTTGCATTTACATTGCCCACACTAGAAACTGACATCTCTGGCATCTGAAATTCTTAGCAAATACTATAATTTCAGTCAGTCTCTGCAGCAACTAGTTATCTCTGTAGATTCCTGCTTTCACCCATTTAGTTGCCCCCATCCTTACATCTATTTGCTCCCTCTTACTTCTGTCAGGA